CACGATTTTCTTGGCAGCTCAGGTAACAGACGGATGTGCGAACACATTGGTGGCCCATACTATGAATAATAAAGGCCTAAAATAATTCCCTTGTTTTTCACAGTATCTGCTAATTATTCACGTTTTCTCTAAAAGCCTCGTCCCACTAGAGTGACAAACACCGATTTTTGTCCGACGACACCACAAAGTTCCGTGTCGCCGATGCTGTCCCACTGCAACGGCCAACACCCGCGACAATCGCCGACAAACCATCGACGACGGACGAGTTCTTGTCTGTTGTTGGACTTGAAGCGCAGCAAGCAGTCCCACCGAGGAACATCTGTCGGATACAAACTTATCCTCCTCGCCCGCTTGTGCCCTCTGTTGCCTCTCTTTCCACCTTTCCTCCCGTGGCTTGCTCCACCGCTCGACCTTCAGAGAAGCCCTTGGCGGCCTCTCCCCGTTCCCGCAGTTCCAGTCCCTCGATTGCTCATAGTGGTCGCGGGCGCGGCTTTGCTTGCTGGCGCTGGGCAGTCATGTTGCGAAAGGCTTGTCTGTGGCTGGTTTTGCTTGCAAAAACTTTGTGCGCGATTTGGTGCTTCAAGATGCCGAGGTCTACGCCCCTAAATCAGGATGGATACACCCATGTTCGAGGACTGACCAAAGACCGCTCACCACGAAGTAGGACACGACGTTCCGCAGCAAGCCATTCCAGCAGACGAGACTTGTCATCACGTTCTGTGATGATCGGGATGCCGTATTGTCCCCCATAAAACGCCTGCCCTCGATCATTCGGATATAAAGTTTTAAACATCCTCAAAATCAGGGTGAAATTCCTTGGTGCTAACTTAGAATTCCTCGAACGACCCCCCCAAAAAAAAGGAACGATTCGGGTATTCTAGTTCAGAAAAGGTTTGGTGTCAATTGTCACGACTGTTTGTGGAAAGTCGCCAACGGCAAATGAAGAGAAGCGGAAGCTTTAATCAAGAAACAAAGTAATTGTCTCCACTTTCACCGTGTTTGTCGGCGCATTTAATGCCCAAAGAGCAAAATATGAAAACCGCATCGCCAGACTGTTTATCTGTGTATTTTGAAGTGTTTTGTTGACAACTCCAATCCCACTAGGAAAGAAGTTTCCTCGTCCCCGTGTCCTGCGTCGTGTCCGCCAGGTGGGACAGCGTGCGTCGTGTGTCGCTCGTCGTGTGTCGCTGTCGTTTGTTGCTGTCTGTCGCTCTAGTGGGACGAGGCTATAAGGATGACACATGAGCAGTGTAAATAGTGCATAAGTAGGTGACAATTCATCGTAGACTTTAGAGAGAGATTAAGCTGTCTTTATGTATTGGCCATCAATCTGTTGCCTTAACAGACAAGGAAATTATGGTTTTAAAATCTGCTCTTGCTAATGGGTGAATCGGCGCATTCCACTTGGGCCTGTGCTTGAGCTCCTTCCGCATTCTTTATTTTTTCCTTTTCTGTTCATGCGAGTCAAGAGTCTGCGCTTGCGTATGGTTTACACGTAACTCTGCTTGTCTCCTTGCCTTTTGTGGTGAACTGTTTTTCAAGCTGTTCAATTAGTAAAGCTCACCACCTTACTACAATCATGCAACAACTAAAACAAATACAACCTACACCATTCGCGCAAGGCAGTACCAAACGAAAAAATACCGGGATTGGGTGAGGCATGTCTAACACTATACACTTACACTGAACTAAATATACCTCTCATAAACTGGCGAGACACTACCTTAATCCAGGACATGCTTGTAAATTTCCCCAGAAGCGGCATCAAAAAATTATTTCGTGGGCACAAAGTTTTGCGATCAGGAGCGGTATGCTATGCAAATCACCATGGGATGAATTCATCGCGGCACCAATTTTCGACAATTCTTTTCTGATAACGAGTCACGAAAATAAAGCCGTTTGCAGACGACTGCGCGGCGGAAGCTACGGACTTGCTCGATCCTCCTCTGCCTTTTGCCTGGCTCAGCTCTCCGGACGCAAATACGCACACGGAATCCACCCGTAGTGTCTAACCGAGAGCTTAGACGATGGAGGGGCACCGCGCTGAGTTGAGTGCTTTATTTTTTTTGTTGGGGGGGGGGGGGGGGGGGGGGGGCACCGCGCTCTTCCAGACATCCTAGTTTACCAGTGAACAATACGGTGGAGGGAGGCAATCAAACTTCCCCCCCCTCCCCTTTCCGCCTCCACCCGCCGGCTGGCCGGCTGGCCGGCCGGCCGGCCGTCCGCACGCCCGCCGCCGCCGCCGGCGCCGCCGTCCCCCCCCCCCCCCATCTCCTAAAAAGTTCCGCCGCTATTGATGGACCTGGACCGAGTACACAGCCTATTTGTGAACGAAGCAAAACAGCCTCGCATAGCACCATTCGCGCACAATTAGTAATACTGGTAAAAGCAAGCGATCTAGACAACAACAAGCATTTTGAACGGAAAAAAGAATAATCTAGCCCTAACGGACAAAGAAAGGAACTTACTTTGAAACGACCGTGCCATGATCTTGGCTGTTGAGCAGATTCGACGTAGTTCCACGGCTCACAGTAGCTTCCTTCGTTTTCGGACACATTTGAAACTAAGTTGAACTCCACGCATCACGACTAATCGGTAAATTGACCTCAAGACAGAGACGTGAAACACACACGGCCAACACGTCCGGCAAAACAAGGCTGCGGAATGGATTGGATCGCGTTCGTTGGCTATTATGGATGTCTAACGACTTTACGGAATCTATGTGCGCGTATTGCCGCGTATCTTCAACACGCTTGCAATAAAACAATCAGCAAAGCGCATTAAAAAACTATTAAAAGACACAGTAATAATAAATTATTGAGTATGCAAAAATTGCCACAATATTAGAAATACGTCCTGAACACGTAACAAAAAATTACATACGAAACTAACCGTACAGTGTATTCAAACGAACTCAGCAGACATTTAAACTACTAAAAACAACGCGTTTTTGATTTGGCGATTTGGTCTTGGTGGTTAACGCGCGATGCGGGTGATCGTCTGGTCGGTGGTTCGAATCCCGGAAGCGCGAAGTTTTTTATTGTTTTTTTTACTACGTTTTTTATTTCTTTTTAATATTTTTTTTAATGTTTTTTGCAGTTGCCGGCCCCTTACTTTAGGGTAAAAATCACGCAAAATCTGGAAATTAGAAGTGCGAGCCCAAATTTAAATTGATGCAATGCACAAGCCGTGGCCCTCTTGTTTTGCCGGGATAATTCGCTCCCTCCGTGCTAATTTCTGGGTCAGTGTAGTAGGCAAACAGCGCAAGTCCTTTCAACGAAGTAAAGAAGGTAATAATAATGGGAATATTGAGAGCAAAATGAGAAAATGAGTAAGTGGTCAAACTGCCACAGTGATGCAGCCGAAGTTTGTCTGAAGGTGGTCAACTTTACCCACTGTTAAAACAGAAATACCGCTATTTTAAGACAGTTATTTAGCTGAGCTCACAGCGCGGTACGTATTAAGCACATCTCTTATTTTTCTGACTTACGGAAAGTAGTACTTAATTTTCTTCTGGTACATCAGTGATATTTCCCTCGCCTGCCGCCTGATTGTACTTATCGAGGTTGCGCTCCGCAGTTTTACTTTTTTATTAGGCCTAGACATGTTTTTATTCCTGAGATCCAAGAACAGTGCGGATAATTAAACTAGCTTTCAGAGACGGCATCGTTCGGTATTAGAACATTTATGTTTCGCAGCGTCAAGGGGTCACATTCACTACCCGGCAGTGTAAACATCCACAACGCCTTTATCGTGTTAAAAAAAAAAAATGTTTTTATATTTGTTTTTTTTTTGTTTTTGTTGCGGTATGTCGTATATAACATAAGCTACCGGGGGACAGATCGTCTGGCTATGTCAAAATTTGAAATATTTCTGTTAGATGATCGTAACTACCACAGAAAACAGCCGATTCTTGACTGAAATAGCATATTTTCACACTCAATTAAAATCACCAATAACACGATCTCAGGAGAGTTGTGTAACTCTCGTAGCGTCATAAGCAATACACACATCTCTTTCTTGTCCAGATTCTGCAATGCAATGCAAATTATAGTTTTTGTAACTCAAAGCGCGTGCTCAATCATGCCACGTGTTTGTTAATTGTGGTTGTTGCTCTTCATTCGGATTCTCAGCTATACCGTTTTTATTTTAATTTTCTTATCAGAGCCAAATACGTGCGTATACCACCGACCTTAAGTATAGTGCATCAAATTAAACTAGCTTCCTGAAAAGGTATCGTTCGGCGTTGTGTAATTTATTCTTCATGGCGTTGGTGGTCAGATTCTCGAATCCTGAACTGCAAATGTTCCTCGCCGCATTGTTTTTTTCTCGCGTTTTCGCAATACAACACGTCAGCCTTGCCATGCTGGGATCAAATACACCAGCGTCGGCAGTTATTTGCGAAGGATTGATCTATGCGAATATTTCCACTCGCTATTCATGAATTGCCACAGTTCGTCAGAATCTGAATGACTTGACTGCATAGTAAAAACGGCAAAAAAAAAAAAAAAAAAAAAAAAAGATAAAACGATGTCGGTTAGTAAACGGAACTTCCATGGCGGGGCTCGCCAGCCTAAACAGCAAAGCGCCGATGCCGGCCAGTCACTGAACTTCCGTGTAAATACTGGCCATCAGAGACAGCAAAGTGCCGATGCCGGCCAGTTACTGAACTTCCATGTAAATACTGGCCATCAAAGACAGCAAAATACCAATTCCGGCCAGTTACTGGAACCTCCATGGAAAGACTGGCCAGCAAAGACAGCAAAAACCCGATGCCGGCCAGTCACTGTAACTTCTTCGGCTGAACTGGCCAGTGAGCAAGACGAAACCCCGACGCCGGCCGGGGCCGGTAGCTCACCGGCGCCAATGGCCGGGCGTCGCCATCCTGTTACCGGGACCGGCCGGCGTAGTCCCGATACCGGCCGACGCGGTGTGCTACCTGGGATGTTACAAATAAATGATTACTAACTGCTGCCACTACCGTCCCATATTTTGTGCAGTTCCGTTGCGTTCTCGTCCTGGCCCTGGCCACCTGCGCCTTCGCGGGCTACCTTGGCTACGGTGGCTATCCCGTGGCTGCCCCCTTGACTACTTCATATTCCACCGTCCACCACACCCCAGTGGTTTCTAGCCTCGGCTACGGACATGGACTGGGCTATGGCTATGGTCTCGGCTATGGCCACCGTCTTGGCTACGGTTATGGTCTGTCCGGCTATGGCCTTGGCTACGGTTATGGACTCGGTCACCTTGGATACGGAGGCTTCTACAAGAAGTGAAGGTACGCGGCAAGAGAGTTCTGAACAATTTGTTTGGAACCGTTTGTCTTTCAAAACGCTGGAAGAGTCTGTTTATCACAAACGAATTATTAGCCACGTTTTAAGCTTGGCAATTCTATTTACATGTTAGCGCTACGAAGATGAGCGACCGGCATGCATGAACGCGGTCTTGCTCACAGGATGAAACAGAATAATATTTACAGCCTAGCACTTTATGGGTTTGGGCACTGCTGCGCTGTGTCGCTGCCTTTATGTCACAATATAATATGTTATATTGTTCTAGGTACCTAACCAAAAGGCGTGAAATAAATTATTTAAATATTAATATTTTAGATAAATGGCCTCACTGAAGAAGCGAACTGTATGTTGGACTTTCTTTTTCCGTAAACTAGAGGTGCAACAACATTCGGACTTTGACCAATTCACTGCCAGGATTAATCTCTGTCAAATATAAAATAGAAACTGGTATGCCACTTCTTTATGTGCACTAGTTAACATTAAAACGAAGACAAATTCAATTTCAGGGTACCCTTCAAATCGGGCAGCATCTTTTGGGTGACATCATGTAGGGTACCCCGTGGTTTTCCTTTGGTTTTGTCTTTGGGGCCTCTGCAATCGCCAACATTTCAAAGTACGGTGCGGCTTAGCGTCGCCGAAGGTCGAGGCGAGCGATCAAGACAAAATACTTTTTCTCGCTGCCAATGACGTGGAGGACAGCAGTGCAAAAAGGGTGGTTTTGTTTACTTCCTTTTGATGACGCCACTAAAAATTGACATGATGATAATGCAATTATAGCTAAGGTGCAAGCGAGCTGGTCGAGAATGGCGATAATAATCCCTGGAAAAGGGGAAGAAGGAAGACCAAGGGCAAACACAAATTACCAAACACAGTCAGGGGACAAGTGCGCAACTGAAACAACTGGCCCAGTCTTAATATCGAAACAGGGACATCTCTATTTTCAGCGGAGCACTCTACCAACTTGCTAACAAGGAGTTAGACGTCCATAAAGCAAACGGGTTCTATCAGTTGCCACCAGTCACCAACAAGGGTGAACGGCCTGCATTTTAAGGTTATGATAATAATGCAATTACTTCAAAGCTACAAGCGAGGGGGGCAAGAATGACGATAATAATCCCTGGAGAATTGGAACAGGGGGGAAAAAACAAGCATAAAATTCGGTCAAGCAGCAGTCACCTATTTGTGTTTGGAAATTTGTGCTTGTCGTTTGTCCCCCTCGTTCCCCTTCTCCAGGGATTAATATGGTCAGTCATATGGTCAGTCATTTCTATAATTGCATTATCATCCTAACCTTCAAATGCAGGCCGTTCGCTCCTGTTGATGTTAGACTGGTGGCAACTAATAAAACCCGATTTCCTCTGCTAACGTCTAACTCCTGGTTAGCTCAGTTGTTAGAGGGCTCCACTGGAAATGAAGAGGTTTCTGGTTCGATACCAGGTCCGGGTCGATTTTTTAGGCCTCGCACCAATCACCTAGCTGAGTTTTGATATTTGTTTTCGATTTTATCAGCCATGTTTCCCCTGTTGAGAGATTATGATCGTCATACTTTTCATGAAGCCATACTGTTGTTCTAAATACTTTGCAGACCGGGAGATAATGTTTTTTTTTCTTTGCATTCTGGCAGCGGCATCGCAGTACATTAGGAGACGGTTGACTGTTTTTTTCACACTTGTGTTAACATGAAAATTATAAAAAATGCAATGTTTCTTTTCTTTCACTCCTAGTAATATTACCCTACGTGTCAATCCCTGCAGTCTTAAAGTTAACATATATAACTGGAATCGTTTTCTTTCTTCCAGAGTCAGGGCGTCTGAAACCTCCTTATCAAGATCTGTTGGACCTGCATTCAACACAAGCAAGAGCTCTCGGAAAGAAATCAAATGGACTGAAATAAATATATCGCCCTGAAAAGTGCAACCCTGTAATGTGTTCTAAAATTATATAGAAACATAATTTGCAGGTACCTATCCCGTTTGATAAAAGGAAACTCTACAGAACTTTCGAGCAATCTCAAGAAGATATGAATGTTAAGTCAAACTAACGTCGGGTTCATTTAAGAATAGCGCCCATTTAAATAGTTGGACCCTCAACCTCTAATGTGAGAGATTAAAATGTAACGTTCTTTGCGGTTTACCTCAGGTGTGTGGGCCGCACACATCCGTTACTTCTTTGTTTCTCACGAAGCGTTCGGCTTACCTTCATGTGCGCTGTGTAAGTGATCAGATCAGAATCGCGTTATGTCACTAAAGCAGTCGTTGAACACAATTCACGGAAGTGTTGCATCTCATTTGCATGGTCTAGAGAAACTAGCGTGGACAGAGTTTGAGCACTGCGGAAGCAACTATAACCTCAACAGCGTAATACATTACAGTTGACGCCGGCTACAGAAGCATCGAGGGATGCGCACATGCAAACTGTGCATTCCTTAAAAGAACTGGATTCGAGCAAAGGTAAAAACAACATCTGTACTCACGGCGGCCATACAAGCCTTTCTTAAGCATGATCACTTGTCCCTCGGTAGCACCATTCGGTGAGAAGCACCAAAACCACGCCCGTGAGACACCCCCGACTCCTCTATTGAACGACAACGACCCGCCTCAGGTCTTGGAAGGAGATCCGAAACACTGCTTTATGCCAGATGTTGTATCTGGCGGGGCAGGGGCGAAAAGTAAAAAATAACATATTTATTGGAAGCGATAGATTCCTATGGAATAAACTCTATGATAGCAGGATTTTTTGGGTCATTGATGTGTTTTATTTAAACACAGAAATGGTCGGTTTATATGATGAATCAGCAGCCCCCATTTTGCATCACTGTATTCAAGAGGGTAAAACTAATTGCTAGTACGAGTTGGTCGAGAGAACGCTCGAGTTGTATAAAAGCTTCGTTCGATTTACATTCCCATCCTTCACCGGTGCAGAAGAGTGTAGGGCGGTGTACTTTATGTAACGATTTGGCGAGGGATGAGACAAGCAACGGTGACGAGGAACAGCTGTCGCTCAGTCAGCCGCGCAACGAGGCACGCTGAAAGCGAAAGGAGCAAGTGACCAAGGCGATGAGCGACGTTTCTAGAAATTAAACAACGAGCTACGCAACTAGCGACAGTAAGAAATCTCCGTCGCTCGTCGCCGGCACTCGTAGCGTGTCGCCATCGCTAGTCTCGTTGTACGCAAAATTGCTTACATGCAGTTCAGAAAGCCGCTCAGTACTGCATTGACACAAGCCTCGCATCCAGCCATAACCATAGCTTTTGTTTTAAGACGCCGAGGTGGAAGTTAACATCGTACATCGTTTTGAATCATGGCTTCTCGTTCATTGGCTCGATTTACACTTTCGGTAAACGCACCAGAGACCGTCCTACCCACATCGCGACTATCGCAGGCCCGTGATTGGACAAGCGTCTACCGACGATACAGGCCACCAGAGAACAGGGGCTATAAGAAGTGACCGGTCGCGAGCGTTCTCTTGACCCTTGAACGAGATTGTGGTCTTGCATCGATTGCCAGCTTGACCAGATAAGATACCCGGCATCATTCTTAGTTTTTCATGAGGCTGTACAACAGGAGAGCGCACGACACAACAGCGCGCGCGAAGCTAGAGCGCCGCGACGTTAGAGCGCGCGACACTAGAGCGCCGCGACGTTAGAGCGCGCGACTCGAGAGCACAGCGACGTTAATGCGCGTGACTGAAGACCGCTGCGACGTTAACGTGCAGCGGTCTTGAGTCGCGTCTACTTTCCCGCACAACACTCGGAAAGCCATGCACCGCAGCTTACGGAGACAGCTCAGCAAATGACGAAGCCAAAAATATGCTTACATAAAAAAAAGAAAAAAAAAAAAGAAAGCTTAGTTTGAGTTGTGATATTAAGCACTGCAAGGGCTTCGATTTTTGCATTGCTTGATGTCAAAACTCAGACTACGTTTTTTGGTCTAAACATATGTTTCGGCTATGTCAGTCGCTGAGCTGTTTCCATAAGTTGCAGTGATTAGCTCTCCGAGTGTTGTGCGAGAAAGTAGGCGCACGTTTTTTGTTTTTAGAGCGCAGCTCTTAGGGGCCCGTTTCCGGCTTGAGCGGCGTCGCCGTCGCCGTCGCCGTCGCCGTCGCCGTCGGCGTAACCGCGCGGTGCATTATGGGTAAATTTCCCCGCTAAATTTAGCGGAAAAATTTCCCCGCTAAATCTAGCGGAAAAATTTCCCCGCTAAATCGATCGGAAAAATTTCCCCGCTAAATCTAGCGGAATATTTTCCCCGCTAAATCTAGCGGAAAAATTTCCCCGCTAAATCTAGCGGAAAAAATTCCCCGCTAAATCTAGCGGAAAAATTTCCCCGCTAAATCTAGCGGAATATTTTCCCCGCTAAATCTAGCGGAAAAATTTCCCCGCTAAATCTAGCGGAAAAAATTCCCCGCTAAATCTAGCGGAAAAATTTCCCCGCTAAATCTAGCGGGAAAATTTCCCCGCTAAATCTAGCGGAAAAATTTCCCCGCTAAATCTAGCGGAAAAATTCCCGCTAAATCTAGCAGAATAATTTCCCCGCTAGATCTAGCGGAAAAATTTCCCCGCTAAATCTAGCGGAAAACCCGCTAAATCGCAGAATAATTTCCCCGCTAAATTTAGCGGAAAAATTTCCCCGCTAAATCTAGCGGAAAAATTCCCGCTAAATCTAGCAGAATAATTTCCCCGCTAAATCTAGCGGAAAAATTTCCCCGCTAAATTTAGCGGGAATTTCCCCGCTAAATTTAGCGGAACAATTTCCCCGCTAAATCTAGCGGAAAAATTTCCCCGCTAAATCTAGCGGAAAAATTCCCGCTAAATCTAGCAGAATAATTTCCCCGCTAGATCTAGCGGAAAAATTTCCCCGCTAAATCTAGCGGAATAATTTCCCCGCTAAATCTAGCGGAAAAATTTCCCCGCTAAATCTAGCGGAAAACTTTCCCCGCTAAATCTAGCGGAATTTCCCCGCTAAATCTAGCGGAAAAATTTGCCCGCTAAACGAGTGGAAAAATCTCCCCGCTAAATCTAGCGGAAAAATATTGGTCACGTGACCTGGGGGGTCACGTGACCCCCTTCCGAGGTCACGTGACCTCGGGGGGGGGGGCACGTGACTCCCCCTCCACGTGGACCCCCTCCCCTGAGGTCACGTGACCCCAACAAGGTCACGTGCCCTCGGGGGATGGTCATGTGTAACCCTTTCCCCTATGTCACGTGACCCCCGAGAAACCATGGCCCTCAGTACACTTCCCTCCTCCTCCTCAAGAGCTGCGCTCCCATTCGGCGTTACAGGGAGTGGTAAACGGCTTTCACTTTTTTTTTTTTTGTTTTAGAGTGCATGCGATACTCTGCTCCGCAAGCGGAGTATATGCAGTTACTCTAGCCTGATGGTGCTTCCCAGGTCATGACATCTTTCGATGGTTGAAATAATCTCAATATCCTCTGGAGGTTTTAGCGGTGGCCGAGAGGAGGCGCCAAGGGTCTCACGTCGTCGCGGTTGCGTGAATTACACTTGGTGCTGAAGCTGAAAGCGGTATGGCTCGATAACGGCGAGTTGAAAATGCGTAATAGTGTGCCCCCTGTAGTCGGTAACAGCTTAAGAAAAATGTTGCGGCTCCACCCTCAAGCACAATGCGCCCACTTGAATTACCTCCGCCGTCGAGAACATAGCCCTCTTGCAAAGCCTCTCCCCTCACCCGCCACCCCCCCCCCCCCCCCCCCCAGAAAACGCCTTTTAGGAGCTACATTATTCATTTGATTCATTCAGTACACCTAAAGGAATTTAATTCTTTATTTTCAACGGAGGCGTTCACTAATAATGGAAAGAAGTCATGTCTAATAGAACGCCATCTGACTTCCTGTCCGAAGTGCTGTCTAGAAATCCTGTCTTCTAGCGCTTCCAACTGACTAAAAAAACAGCCTTTAAAGAAAAAAAAAAAGGAAACGTAAATACTGTTTTAGTTTTCGTAAGTAATAAAACATTAATATTTCTTCTTCCTAAGAGAGGCTTTGTACACGAATTGTGTATGTTTATTTGGTTTATTAAACTCAAAAACCCTTTTCTTTTCGGGTTTTGGCGAAGCGTGACTCACTAAGTACTCGATGTCTGTCTCCTTCGTTGTCTACCGCCATGGATCCGAAGGATAGCTGCGGAAAGCGATTCTTCGGATTCATTTTGGTCGAGAGAGCCTGGTGCGGCCACATCGGCTACATCAAAACGTTGGTACAAGAAGAATAAGCGCGGTCGTATTTTAGACGTGGTTGACGGCAGCTGACCTTGAACACTTATGTTCGGATGCGACACACAGAGCCCGAACTCAACGGGAGCGAGGTCTGCAAGGCTGTCGGCAGACTAGGAGTGTCGCCAACTTTGGTGAAGCCGGATTTTTAGGTGAAACTTTCGGGGTTCCTCTGGCTCAAACCGGTTCGACGAGCCTTCGAACTTTTAACCAGGTTCGACCGGTTCGACTTTGTGGGCAGTGTGGTCAGACCTTGATACCAGCATGTCTAGGTTTGGAGATTTTTTATGTACACGGTTATTTTTAATTTATGAGCATTTGCAATTAAAATAAACTAATTACAATCACTGAATAAGTTAATAACTTCTTTTTTTGCACTGTATTAACTGAAATAACCAAACAGTACCACTCTTAATTCATCCCTTTGCCTTCAACATCCAATCCGAAGCCAAATGGTCAGCCTGTCGAGCATGCGCATAGCAGTCGAACCTGAGCCGAACCTTTGTCGAACTTTTCACAAGAAGTCCCAAAAAGTCGAACCTGGTAGAACTTGAACCTCGGCCGGTTCGCGACACCCGCGCGGCAGACTGCTTGCTGTCAGCGTATCGAGCGTCCTGGAGATCAGGAAGGAGGTAAATGCAAATAATGGAAAAGTTGCGACACCTACCCGGAAGCGCCCAGTAAGTGG